GGCCACAGCAGCTGGGAATGGGCCAAGGCAGGAGCTCGGGGCCCACACACTCGGATCATCATGTGCTACTTTTCCAAATTAGCTGTGAGCTTGAAGGGAAGCAGAGAAGCAGGGACTGAAACTGGCACTTGGCTATGGGGTACCAGGGTCTCGGGCAGAGGTTCAGCATGCTACACTGCAGTGCTGGTGCTGGGTTTCTCCCCCTTGGTGAACACCGTTCCATGCTTGTTCCAGGCAACAGATCATTCATTTTACCTCATGAATCTTTCATGCCCAGGCTTTCCCTTGATGTTTGCACATTTTAACTTCAGGTTCTTATCTTCTTGTGGTTCCATCTTGATGCTTTGTGTAGTTGACTTCTGCCCTCAGTTCATACTGCTGTGGTTTTTCCTATGCAGAAATGATCTCACCGGAACATGAGCCTGAGTGCTCTCTTAAGAGCACTGGTAGTTTTCTGTGACTCGCAGGGGTGACTAAAAATTCAGACTGGACCACAAAATTCTCTGGGACCTTTAAGAAGAAAAATGCCAAGGCCTGCTGTGGACCAGTGGACTGAGAACCCTCGACACCTTCATCCTTACCTGGTTAGCTAGAGGACATGTCAAAGTGGACATGTCTAAAATGGAACTTGTTTCCTTAAAACCTGTGCCAAGTTTGATCTTGCCTGTCTTAGTTGGTGGCCATGCTGCTCTTCCAATGATCAAGCCTAAAATCACACCTCCTAGCAGGGCCGGTTGGCAAGACTTCTCTTCCACTCTGCCTGGAACAGCACTGCTGCCCCACCACAGCTGGTTCCTCCCTGGAGTGTTGCCGCACCTCCTCCCAGGCTCCCTGCTTGCTCCCCTGCAGCATACTGTAGAAACCTTAGAGTGACACTGCAAAGATGCAAATCGCAGCTCCCACTGCTCAGAATCCTTCCATGTTAACGGTTTTGCTGAGAGTGCAAACACACTTGCTCATAGCGGCCCCACTGGGTCATGAACCATACAGTACTCCCCAAACTGTGGAGGTGTCCTGGGGTGTGGCAGTTCACAGGGTCCCCTGCAGGGAAGCTGCACTTCTAAGGAAACACATCATCCTTGGGCTCTGTTCAACTGTGTCAGCTGCCGGCCAGATGAGCAGCAGGAGAGCATACAGGGCTTGGAGCTGCAGTCGCAACAGTCAGATACCTCCTTGCCTCAGTTTCCCAATCCAGGCAGTGGCTTATACAACTAAGCTCTTTGTGCCCGGTGGCTGGCACAAAGTAAAATGGTAACGTATGAGATTCCATTAGGTGAATGAGTGGGGATACCTGAGGCTGTTTGGAGTCATTTTCCGTGTTTCATTTCTTTCAGAGTTAGATTATGTTCTGGCTTTATAGTGTCTGGGAAATAAATGCTATTAGAATCATGGCCAGTCTTTCCTGTCTCAAAAGCAGCGTATGCTTCAGGATTTAATGTGCTTCCAGTACACTTAGAGCTCAGCTGACGTCTACCATGAACCTCTCCCGGACTGTCAGGCACCTGTGTCTGTAAACCCAGTGCTCGAGGGAGCCAGGGTGCTGCTCCTGGTCCTTCGGTTCCTCTTGTGACTGAAGACATGGTGCCCCATCAGCTGGAACTGTCCTTGCTCTCCGCTCCTTAGCTGCTGTGTATAGCTGAAATAGATGCGACTTGTTTGCTATGCATCGCTCTCAGGCTAGACTTTATAAATGCAGGGCTGGGCACAGCTTTGACGTCATTATTTCTGCTGCTGTTTCAGTTTCACTACCATAGTTAAATCCAAATTTAACCTTTTAACGTGTAAATTTAAATCCAGGGTACATGTTTGGCTTAGTGGTTAAGGTAAGATTAAGGTAAGTTTGAGATCTTTCTCCCACTCCTAACTCCAGTTCCCCACTAAAGCAGAGTTTGGAAAAGCATTAGTGATGGCTCGAGCGTTGATGGAGTAAATCGGTCCCTCTGCACACCCCCAAATAGAAATCTGCTGCTCTCTGCTGAGGCACTTGACTCCAAACTTTCCAGGACGAGTACTAAGGATGAAGAAGGTTAGTGCCACTTGCTGTTGATGATAGAGCATAGACAGTGAGGATGTGGTCGCCAGGACGATCCTGTGCTTGCCTTCTCGTGAGAGCACTGTGGAGTGACTTCAGCTCGCTCTTGCCATGATGTGGACTCAAAGAGAAATTTACCACAGTGGCAGGTGAGAGGTGGAAGTTTTAAAAGGCTGTGCTGTGATAGAGGCATTTATCCAGTACTCTGCGAGAGCCAGAGAGGGAAAATTGGATGGTGGTTTCTTGGGAAAGCTGTTACTTTGCTCGGGCTCTGTAGAGTGGCAGTTTGCAGAATGGTGCTTGTGGGTGAAGGGGTGATCAGAGTGGCATGGGAACAGCCTGTGTCCGTGCCGGGGGAACCTGCCTGTGTTTGTGTGTGGGCCCAAGCATGAGAGGAGATGAGACTGGAAGGGAAATGGGGGTCTGCTTGTGAAGGGCTTTATGCCTCATGCCACAGGATGTGGAAACTTTCTTCTGTAGGGTTTATCTTCTTGGAAAGTGGACCTATGATTGCATTCATGGTAGCAGTGTGAATATCACTTGGGAAAACAGAGTGAACTTTCCTTGTGTATTTTGAGAGTATAAGAAGTATCAAGAGATCATAGGCAACTGAATTCTTAATAAAACCATGGGAATATAGTAGTAGGAATATAAAATAAATCTCAGAAGCAGATCAGTACAATCCTAGAATGAATTTGATGTGGAATACCATTAAAATTTTTTAATACTTACTGATTTTTTTTTTAAAGTTTTCTTTTTGAGAGGCAGATTTCCAGCCCTGACTGTATCATTCCACTTAGAATGTGAGGTCATAGAGGCTTGACCTCACAGGGAACGGGGTTCCTTGGGTGACCCAGAGATGCGGAGCAGACGATGGCGTTGTGGGGTGGAGAACCCTGGGAAGGCGTTGACTGTGGGAGGAATGGCCCAGGCGTGCCCTAGGAGGTGTGATGGGTTCTTGTCTGTGTTGCTGGTGAGTTCACACTGCTGTCATGGTGCCAGGCATTCTCACTGCAGTGGAGGGATTCGGGTCTTGTGCAAGTGGCTGCCTAAGTCCCGAAGAAAAGCAGAAGGGAGTCTTAGAGGACTGGAGGTGTTTATCCTCACCTTTCCCCGCGTTTCCTCCTTTTACTGACGGCTCTTAAGATCGAGAGCTCTGACCACACAGATCTTAAGAGTGTTTTTCCGGGGGGTATGAAGAAAGTTCGGTAGAATCAACTGGGCTGGCAAGATGGTAGAAGGAAGAGGCAAGTGCGTGGAATGAAGAAGTAGGCATGATTCTGAGCAGTTTAAAAATATATACTCACGAGGGTCTTAGTCAAGCCCCGTGTCTGTTATATCATGTGATTAAACATGTGCCCTATATCTTCCCTGAGAAATGCACAATAAGAGGCATTTTAATTAAAGCGAAGTACTTTTTTGGCGTTTGTTTTTACTACATTATAGCTGTTGCACAGAGTACATGCAATCACAACTCCAGGAATATTTTTTTCCTTAATGTAAAAACTACTTGATTGTAATTAATGTGGCTTGTGGAGTGCACTTTTCCTATCTCCACAAGAATTCTGAATTTCCTTTTAAAGTAACCTCTGCTGTGAGTTCGCTTTTATAGGTATGCTGTAGATGATTATTCGTTTTTCTAATGGGTTGAGTTTCAACAAATTGGGACTGCCAGCTCTATACAGGAAGGTTTGGGATGAGGCTTGCCACCCTCGTGAGGCAGCTTGTTTTCATTGGTGGGTGTTTTCTGCCGGAAATTGTTGGCTTGTTGGTTATCATTCGCCCTATCATGTCTGGGTCAGTTCTGGTGTGTGGCTTTTCTGGCATTGGTGTGCTCGGTGACTATGGTCTGCTTCAGCCTTCTTCTCAAAAAGCAACATGAATGGCAGCTTTACCAGTGGAAGCAAAGCGAGCCCACACCAGTGAGGTGTTTTATACTCTCAGCTTCCTTCAAGGTCTCAGTATGTGTGAGTTGATGGAAGCACTGAAGAGAATTCTCATGTAGCTACATCTAAGACAGTCTTGGGATAACTTGTCTTTCTCTCCCCTGCTCTTTTCCCCTAATCTGTTCAAAACGCGGAAAAATGGAAATGAAGGCAAGCACTTACTGCCATTGGCCAATTCATTCTCCAGATGCCTCTGACTGGGCTGGGTCACAGCCAGGAGCCAGGAACCGAGCCCGTGTCCTCCATGTCGGAGTCGGGGATCCAGTTATTGGAACCTCCGCCGCATTAGCCAGGAGCTGGAGTTGAATCAGCCTTGGGCACTATGATGTGGCACGCAGGCATCCTAACTAGCGTCTGAGCTCCAGGTGCCCCTCCCCAGCTCATCAGTGACTCCCTTCCGGGTGCAGGTTGTGGGGTGTCTGCTGACAGGAGGTTGAAGGGGAGTTTCTAGGGATAGGCAGCAGGTGCCTATTGCTTTACTGAAAACAACTCTTTCTAGTCAGTTGTCTGAAGCCAGGTTTTCTTATGTCAACCAGTGCAATAGAGGTTTGCAGTATGTGGTAGAAATGACTGAGCATTTAGTTATCTAAAATATGAAAATAACTCAACTGTTTCACCATTGTTTGGAAAAGTTATTGTCAATGGAAGTATAACAATCCGTACTATGTTGTGACAGATGTATTCTTGAAATTCGTGTTTTAGAATCTTCTGTTTGAATGACTGGTCTGGTGAATATCAATAGATGGACTAACCCCTATAAAGAGAACTTTGGGAATTCTTAATACCTTAAATACTATGAAGGACCGGAGACTGAAAGTTTGGGAACCGCTCGTGTCAGGCCTAGGCAGGTGGACAGACATCTCTGTAATTTCTTAGATATGATGAAAATATTTTCATGACTTTTTAAGCAGGACCTCTCTGAAGTCATTATTTACACAAACCTCAGTGTTACCTGATCAGGTTGTTCCCCTTTTCGCCATACAAGAAAAATCCTTTCAATTATTCTTCATCACTTCTCACAGCAATCCTGGGGTGAAAACATGCCTGGAGACTCATTCTAACATGGGGAGCACTGAAATCCTGGAAAAGGAGACCTCGGAAAGTGTCAGCAACGGTACCAGCAGCAACCTGGAAGCGGCCAAAAGGCTGGCCAAGCGCCTCTACCAGCTGGACAGATTCAAAAGATCGGACGTCGCAAAGCACCTCGGCAAGAAGTAGGTCCTGGCCCAAGGCGGGTGTGTGTGTGTGTGTGTGTGTGTGTGTGTGTGTGTGTGTGTGCGCGCGCATGTTTGGTTGCACTAACACAGGCTATTCTGTTTTCTTACAGTAATGAATTTAGCCAGCTCGTCGCTGAGGAATATCTGAAGTTTTTTGACTTTACGGGAATGACGCTGGACCAGTCCCTCAGGTACCAGCGACATTAGCCTTTGCATCATTGCGTCTAGAAATCATGTCTTCCTACAGGAAAGCGTCGGATGCTCAGCTGTAATGTTTCCTTTAACCCCCCTGTTACCGCGTGAATTTACCTCAGACTGGGTGATAGCTATGACACAGAATATGAAAAGCGCATTTATAAAATTATATGTGAAATGCTGTTCTGTGTCTGGTGGTACTCCGTCATCTGGATGACCGAGTGAGGAATGATAGCAAGACGAGTCTGGAAGAAGAGTCTGAGCATTCTCCCCCACAACCTTCCCAATTTAATGACAGTAAAATAGACTTGACATAAAAAGTTGCCTTTTGGCTCTTCCTAAAGCGCAGTTCACTGATACTAGATTTGATAATTGTACATCCATCACCACCAGCCATCTCCATTATAACTTACCTTGTAAAATTAAAAATCTATACCCATTAAGCATAACTTTCCAGTCCTCCACCCCCCAACCTGCTTTCCATCTGATTTTTCAGCTGCTTCGAATGCCCACCATGTCAGAATACAGTTAAATAGAATGATGGACTTGTGTCTAATGAAGGACTGTGCTATTGTAACCATTCAGGAGAAATCTGAGGGGGAGCGGGGGAGGGGGGCAGGGAGGTTTGGTAAGGGAATTCCCAGAGCCTATGGAATTGTATCATTAAAAAACTAATTAAATTTAAAAAGAATATAAAGATTTTTATCTCCCAATTCCCTCCTATGACAAGAATAATGGTGATAATCACCCAAATGAAATTAGCAGGAATGTGCTATGCATAAGATAATGAAATTACAATTTTAATAGTGTTAGTGAAGTTTATAATCTAGCAAATGCTATAAGAATCCCTCTGTATATAGGTTTTTAGAGCAGCCTAGCCTGGTGAACAACTCATTTGAGTCTCTTGTGTGCTTTGGTTTTCTTCTGTTGCCACTAAGGCATAATGAGATTTCTTACCTAGCTTATGCTCTGAAGTATGGATCACCTGTTAGCACCCTGGCATTCTTCAGATGGATGTGTTGGAGAATTCAAAACCATTCCTAAGTGTATCTGTCACCGAGTAGATGCCAGTCCAATCTGGGAGGGTGTGGGGAACAACCGTTTATCTTACGTGGTACTCTTACATTCTAAATGTCAAACTGTGGTACGTTTCCAGAATTTCACTTTTTCCCCTTTGTCCCTTTTTTAGGTATTTCTTCAAGGCATTTTCTCTTGTGGGAGAAACTCAAGAACGAGAGAGAGTTTTAGTACACTTCTCCAACAGATATTTTTATTGTAATCCGGATACCATTGCTTCCCAAGGTAATGTGGTGGAAGTCTTGTTTCATGTTTATTTTTTATGTGAAAATATAGGAAAGTGTATATATGATATGAAAAATCGTCTGTTTCTAATTGCCTACAGATAACTATTGCTAACATTTTGCCTGACTTCCTTATAGTACATTTATATAATATTCGATGTCAAATTGAAATAATTGCAGCATTTTTCTGTTGATCATAGTCTCATGTCATTAAATATCTAAAATCATATTTAATGGCACCATGATATCTAACGTTTTCATGATTTGTATGGTTTTATAGTTCTGTAATGTGATATTTCCTTTTAATCACTCAGCTTTATTTCTGAGATTTTCTGTGCAAAACACACTGAAGTAAATGAAATGCAGATTTTTCTCATTTCTTGCATCTCTGCTCTCTGCCCTGCCTGAATGCTCACGCATGCGTGGTCTTTGCGGTGAGCTTCAGCGGTGTTTCCAAACCTTGCTGGAAGTCGCGGTGTATCTGAGTCTCGTGCGGTAGTCGTCGTCATGACGCTGACCAGCAGCTGACGAGCGTGGTCTTCTTGAACCCCGGCTTGATGGTGGTTCAGTGTCTTGTTGACCTGCCCTATGCAGAGGTCTCTCTCCCGTTCAGGTGTGCAATAAAGCAAAACTTTCAGAGTATGAAGCCAAACACATTCGCTTGCAACTACACATTTTCTCAAAGTTGAGAAATCCTGCAGTGCATCAGAGGCTAGGAGAAAACACGGTTATTTTGCGAATAAACTGGGGTCATTAGATCAATTGGTATCGACTGTGGTGCTTGCTTGTGCCTGTGTCTGCTGTACCCTTGAGGCCGTCCCTACGGTCAGTTCATCTGCTCATGGAGGTCGTGTTCTTACCTAGGAATTGATGACATCGGCACCAATCCATACATGCACAGCTTCTGTTCCCCTAAGCATGGAGTAGACAATGAAAGAATCCATTTTGTTTTTCTTAATAGTCTTCTGCAAATTTAAGCTCTTGCTGACATTCTCTACTAAAATAACAAATATGCATTTATGTACTCTGTTGGTTGTTAAGGATGTTTGAGAGCTGGCTGCTGAGCTTTACAAACGTTTTTAGGAATTCGTTCAGAGTTAGCGATAAAATGAACTGGAATGAAAGTACTTTCAGGCATTGTGTAGATTCTGCTTAGGGACATTGCTATCAGAAAACACCTCCTATATATTCTCTTCATATAGGAATTCAGCAATTAGGCCTTTTGGCTGATTTGGCAAAACTTGTTAAGTTTTTTACTGAATCTGAAACTGCTCTTGTCTATTCAAATTGAGAATTAGTAGATAGGGGGAAGTAATTTCATATCCAGAAATGAGAAGTTTAACACCTTACACTTTTTCTTTCACCTTGTAAACATTGTAAACATTGCTTAAATGTGAACTGATCCTTGTGTTTTGGAAATATGTTCTCCCTAATTCTTTGGTCTTTATAGGTTATATTACTATTTTACTTTGATCTGACCCATTATGTCAAACAAAACCATTGAGCTAAAATATTCCTGTTTAATAAATTGCAATAAGGAGAATATTCACTTATTTATAGGTAGAGAAATAGATGTAATAGAAAATTTAATAGAAATGTAGACCTAATCTTCTTTTGGCCTCAATTGTTTCACAGTTCTTTCTACCACAGAGTTAACAAATCCACAATATTAAATGATCTTCATTTTTATACCCCATTCAAAAAAATGAAAAAGTATCTCACTACTGAGAAATAACTTTTTTAAGCATTGCATATTCTTTCTAGATGTACTTCTGTTCAAATGCACTTTTACATAGAAGTGTGTTAAAATCTGTTTCCATTTGTGCTTCTGCGGACACTTCAGTCATTCTGGAGGCTTGTCAGATTTTCTGGTTGTCCCTCGCCCTTCTATAGCCGCTTTAGTCATTCTTGAAAGTTCCGCTCTGGGACTGGGTTTGTTACGCCCAAGGTTCCCATTCTAAGCGCTCCAGGTAGTGTCCAGCTGTCTTGTAGAGAGGTCTAACGGCTCATCCACAGCAGGGTCAGCTCTGCACGCTAACGGTGTAGAATTCCAGGCAAACCTGGTGAATGGTGCCTAGTGCAAGTGTTGTGCTGCAGTGGCGTGAGTCCAGCAGAGGATGGTGAATGAAGGTTTCTGTCCCCCCGTCTCTCTCTTTAGATGGAGTCCACTGTCTAACCTGTGCGATGATGCTGCTTAACACGGATCTCCATGGCCACGTAAGTGTAGCTTGCTAAAGTTAGCTTGCGGAAGTCAGGACATCTTGGGCATAGTTTTGCTTTTCTGTCCCTGCATGTTTATCTATGTCTCCCTTTCTGTCATTAGCTGCATGGCTCCCATGGCAACCAGATACAGGAGAACTTTCGGAAAGAAATACCTTCTATGAATTCACATGCTTGCACAGAGTGTAGACGCCATATTGTCTGGATTGCTTGTAGTTGTAATATCTTTGTTGTCCACGAGATGGCAGGTGAAGCTTCTATTTTGGGGGGAGGAGTGGTTTTTGTTTAAGGTTGATACAGTGATGAAAAAGAGTATGCTTGTGAGATCTGAACTTTCTAATTCTGTTTTCCTTGCATACATAAATGTAAGAACTCAGCTTTTGCTTTGCTACTTGGCTCAGCTCAATTTTTACTGGTTGAAATTATCCAATTACCTTTACATCTTTTATTTAAAATAGAGGATGAATGGATTGAACTTATAATTGTGCATAAAATTTCACCTTTCGCATGAGTCTAATTTTAGCATTTACTGAAACTCTTTATACCAGAGAACGCGAATATTTTAAATGTAGCTCAATCTATACAAAGACTATTTCATAGTCCCAAATCCATTTATTTTAAAGAAATTTCTTTAAACAGTGTATCATCCTGTAATACATTATGATTTAATTACAACTTAAAAAATTACATTGAATTAACTGATAGGTATGTATTTTATGTTGAAAGGCTTCGTAATTCTGTTACTTGAAATTCCACTGTTCCTCTTGAAGGAGGGGTACGGGGGAGCTGTGTGGGGACGATTCCACAGGAACAACAGGGGACTGGAGGAGTCCTTCATTAGCAGAGTGAGGAGAGGAAGCGATACCATCATAACTTTAACATAGCTCGGACATTCAACAGGAATGTGGAGTGACTGGCTTGTCGGCATAGCTGGCACACGTGCCTTGATTCCACAAAAGCTATACATCTTTTTGGGCTCATTCTTGGTTCATAGGCCTGTGAAAGGATGTGAAGACACAGTAATTCCCAGAGTGGGAGCCTAGAAATGCTCCTTCTGGGCAGCTGTGAAAGATGGTTCAAGGGTGGGCAACATCTGGCCCACAGGCCGTAGAAGGTCCCCTACGTCACTTAGTGTGTCTGTGCTAAGGTGAAGCATAGCATTCAGGAAATGGATGGCAGAGTAATGCTTAAGTTGATCTACACATCCAAATGGTGCATGCAGAAAAGATGGCTCCTTACGCCTGCTTTCTATGGCTGTAAAGGAACATTTCAGTGTGTTCTTGACAGTTGTGCCAAGACAGTGTGATCGTAGCAACAGAACTTTGGGCTACGAGAGGGGTAGTTAGCAGGTTCATGTCCTTGGCGATCACTCCTTTCAGTTGTGGTAGAAATCATTCCCATATTTCTAGGATTGCACCTCACTGGGGTGTTACCCATTAGTTTCCTGTATCCTTGTTCACAATGCATTGTTACAAGTCTGAATACACAGCATCCATCACCAGAACCAATCGTCTGATAATGTGTCTCTTTTATCTTTCTCATCGGGATTGACGGTAAAAACTAACTTTCCTCCCAGGTGGTAAGTTTTTATTCGTAATTCTGAACGCGGCTTCTCTTGCATCCTGATTGCCTGGTTTGTGGTTCCATGCAGCATGGCTCATAGGAAGCTGGATCCTTCAGAATATAGAGTGAATTAGCTTGAATGCCCACCCCCTTCATCTTCTCCCTGCTGCTTTACTGCAACAGGCCATCACCACCCATCACCTGGTCGATGACAGAATAACCCTCTGGTGGGGCATAAATAAACCATCTTTTCTTTCTCCCTTTCCTGTGTCATGATAACAGTACATTAGCATGATCTAAGACTTAGGGCCCATGCTCCTAAGTGGAGAGGGTTGGCTTACTAGGGAGACTAACTTCATTGGACTGTTGTTGGTGAATCTTGTCTTGATATTGAGGAATGACGTCCTTGGTCTGCTCGTTTTGTTACTAACAAAATAATGGGATGTATACTAATACCATAATGTTTTTAGTTTAATGTTGGAATGCCATTTGAGTTTTCTTTTTCGAATGTGTTCTCACATTCAACGAATACTTTATGGTATGTCTATTCTATTCCGAGTCTTGTGTTGCCAGGTAAGGAGTCAGGAATGAGTTTCCTGGCAGTCAAACTTAATCTCTGATAGTGCTGCTGGGCTGGCTGCCATGAGTCAGGTTTAGCTGAAGAGCAGATAACTGCAGTGCAGTGCAGAGGTGGTCCTAACTTCACATTGGATTATGGTTCCAGCTCGGTCATTAGACTGGAAAAATGGCAACCGGATGTATACAGTATTCATGGATGCTCTTCAGCTCCTGCTTGTAAAAAGTATGGCTCAATATTGTCTTAGCATCTACTCATTGTTTTCCTTTTCGGCAAGTATTCTTAGATGAGATAAATGTTTAGCTGTTAGTCATGTGAAAGCAATTTAAATAATCCCTCTTTAAAAGAATGTCTTCATTTTCAAAATCTATGTGACATAAATGGATGCATACATAAATATTAAGAACAGTTCATCTGTCTTTACTAATGTTGCAAATAGGTTATACTGAACGTTACTTGGAATACACAATGAAAGGTAGCGATGTTTCTATTTGGAATCCTGTATTATTGGACATGGTATGCATAAGGAATTCAGCTGTTAGAGCAGATTCAAAAGGATTGCTCTTCTGAGCCGATTTTCGTGTTTTGACTATTGCTTGCCATCTTATCCTTGGTCCACAGTTAGGATTCAGCTGTCTTGGCAGGATTTCCCCGTGGGCTGAAGACAGTTAATAAGGCAGGGTAGCAGGCAGGAGCTTCTCACTTGGGCTGCTCTCTCAAGTGCCAGGCAATTGTTCGTGTAGAATGAGGTTGAGTTTGGATGGTGGGGCAGCTTCACCACTGGGAAGAGACATACCAGTCAGTGGCTGGTGAGTGATCAGAGGTCTTGCTTTTAATCCACATTTTGTGACAAAAATTTACCATTTAAAATTTGTAGTTTGGGATTTTTAGTGGTATTTGACTCATCCACCATTCCTCCGTGTTCCAGAATTGGCAGGAGCCAGCCTGCAGGTGCCGTGGGTATGGAAGGCAACGTGTGGTTCTTCTGTATGATCGGGCCTCCTGCAGGTGTTCTATGTCTGGGCTTGCTGGTTTTATGCAAGGGGTTTTGTATTTTTATAGGGATAAAACTGTAGCTGGTATACCGTGTTTGTAGGGAAGAAAGGAAACCAAGGAGTGGTGTGCAGGTTCAGGTGTGGGCGTTTGGCTTAGCTGTTGATGCCTGCGTCCATGTTCAGCTGCCCGGGTTCAAGTCCTGGCTCTGTTCCTGACTGCAGTTTCCTGCTGATGAACCCAGAGCTTGGGAGAGAACAGGTGATGGATCAGGTACTCGGGTCCTTGCGTTCCTGTGGGATGCCTGTATTTCATTCCCAGTCCTGGCTTCGGCCCCATCCAGGGACCTGGCAACAATTTGGCAAATGCACCGAAGTATAAGATTCATCCATCTTTGTGTTTCTCGGTATGTCACAAAGAAGTTTAAAGTGTAGGTTTCCTAAAAGAATGTTGCAAAGATACATGAAATTCTGTTGGAGGTAGTTCATAAGAACTAATTGTTTGTGCTTGTCAGCCGAATTCTTGTATTCTCTCTCCAGAAGGCTTGACATTTTACATTTTAAATATTTGATTTATGAGTAGCTGACAATGATGGTTATAGATATTAAGGAAATGTCATGCTTTCACTTTTCCATATTGTACAGTTTAGTCTCCCGTCAACAGCATCAGAGGCCTCTAAGAGCTTGAGGGACCCTGTGCAGTAGTCTCAGAAAGCCTGTCATCTGTCACTTTCACTGTAATAGTTGTCTCACTATGCGCTCTGCCAGCTGCCCTCCCTGCTTCCTTGCTCTGGGACCACTGGATGCCAGCTGTGAGCTCCCATGCCTGTTGCACCAGCACTACGCTGCTCCATCTCCCAGTGCTGTGTCTTTTCATTCCTCTGAGTGGCAGCTCCCCAGCTGCTATGGGTACCCACGAGGGCTCACCCACAGTGGGGCAGTGAAACCAAAAGCACTTCACGCCTTGCTCTTGGAATTCCTGGGAATTCCCATGCGATGTGGCTTTCACTTTCACTATCACTTTTTTCTGTAACCAGCAGTATTTATGGGGCAGCTTAAGAATCTATAGAAAGATGTGATTTGAAAATAACTTTCAGATGTCCATTAGAGTGGAGTTAGCAGTCATTTACGAAGAGTTTTTACTTGTTTTTACTTGTTTCAGAATTTAGTCATGAGCTAGGTATTGTCTGTGAGCCCCTTAAATGAGCACCTTCATTGCCCTTTTGGGTGTGGGGATAGTTCTGCTTTTCTTAGAAAAAGTTCATCTGTGGAAAATATACCAGTTGAGTCCTGGGCCCCAGGGCTGGGGATCGGCCTAGTGGGGGTTATTGAGGGTTGCTCTAACTAGGCTGCAGGTCCGGATGTATGTGAGAGCCAAGTTTATGGAGGGCAGGGTTGGGCTGGGATGCAGCATCCATTGGTTTACATAGACAGGGCTGGAGACAGAACTGACTCAGGAAAAAGTGTTCTTGATTCAGTAGTGACTAAATATCTTTATGAATTTCTTGAAAGAATTTTGAGCAATTGAAAAACTCGCTTTTCCTTTTCCAGTTTTAAGTTACAATCTACATTTTTGTAAGTTGTAGTTGTGAAATATATAATTTTTGCTGAAGACATTAGTTGACATTAAGTCTTTCATTAGGCCCCAAGTGTTATGCGTTGGAGAAGCATTTTCAGGATGGCAGAGTAACAACTTAAAGTTTTCTTGAACTCTGGCAGCAATGCTCAAAAATTGCCATTTTCAGAACTTGGGAAATTAGCCAAACATTTGAAGCAATCCAAAGAGTTTTACTCAAGAAAACCAAAAGCCCTTGGATTTCAGTGACAACAGCCAGTTCTGTTGTGTTTTTACTCTTTCCTGTTGT